CACTGATAATAAGAGCCTCAAGAACTCACTGGTAAATTTTAATCGGACAAATTCAGAAATTGTTAGACCGCATTACATTTGGGGAATGAGAACACATATCATGAATACAAGGAAGGACTGCCTTTCTCCAGGAAGATTAGAAAAGAATGCGAGAAAAATTGTTCAGAAGAAGTGGCGAAAGCCTTTTATTTGTAGTGTAATGTGTAGAATTTTCCAGAAATGACAGAGGGTTATGAAAATGATGATAAGAGCCTCAATAACTCACCGGTAAACTTTAATCGGACAAATTCAGAAATTGTTAGGGAACCTACATTTGTAGAATCAGAACACATATCATGAATGCGACTTCCTTCCTTCATGAAGATTGGAAAAGATGCAAAAAAAGTTTCTCAGAAGAAGCTTGGAAGACATCTTTATCTGTAGTATAACATAGCCTGTTTGATGTGTTTGTAACATGGCACTCTGTTTTTTATTAGCTGCTGGTAGCTTATTTCATTCTTATATCCTGTAACCATGCTTATCTTCAAATCCCCTACTGAGATATTTATTCCGATATTTTTTTGGCATTGCGAAAGTTGTGCAGCATGAGAAATTCTGTCCAGTGTGATTGCGTCACTCCGAAAAGAAGCTAAAAGAAGACGTGGTACCCCGTTGATTCGGTTCTGGCGGCTGGCCATATGTAGTCCGTTCGAATACTGTTCGACTAGCTGTCCAAGTTGCTCCCTTTGCTGCGACCCCCTGGAGTGACCTCCTCGGAGCTGTCCTCGCTTTCCTTGAGGTTTCATCCGTGCTTTCTGAGGCCATGAGCGTCCGTTTTCAATTCGGGATCTACCTCGGCTGCTACTTCAAGGGCACCTTCGTGCTTCCTCCTGTGGGGGTGCAGCCGAATTCGGGAGGTGCTGTTAAGCCTTTCAACCTGATGTCTCTCTCCTCTGCCAGCCAAGCTTATTCTGCCTGGTCGGCTTCCCTTCCTAACAGTGATTGCCCATCGATCTGTTTTTGCGCAGTGGTCTGAAGAGCGTTCCTGTGGCCCTGGTTCCAACCAACGGTGAGTCTAATCGCCTGAAAAAGCCAAAGCCGATTCAGGAGGAGCTTCGGAAGATTTCAGATTATTACCACATTATTACTGACGTGCGTCAATTTGGACGTGGAGGCATCCTGTGCTGCCTGTCGGACCAGGCCTGCATTACAGATCTCCTAAAATGCACAACCTTTGCCTCAAATCCGGTGTGCTGTTTCGTACCTGTCCATTTGGCCTGTGTAAAGGGACTACTTCAATGAGTGGACTTGAGCCTTACACCACCTGAAACACTTGAAATGTTTGCGGCTGCAGGAGCCGTCTCTGTATTTCGATTCTCGCGAAACTTTGAGAAAAAAAAAGGTCCCCACTGAATCAGTGATCGTGACTTTTGCCGGCACGCCTCGACCAACCGAGTTTAAGGCATGGCCACTAATTTATCGTGTAGATGCGCTATCCCCTCGCCCACTGCAGTGCGAAAAATGCTGGAGGTATGGGCATACCCTCCAGGAACGTAGATCAGATGTGAGGTGTCGCATATGTATTCACCAACATAAACCCGGTAAATTTTCATTTCAAGAGGTGAGAGGCTGTCGATGCAGAGCAAATCGTGCAGCGGACGATGAAAGTTCCGTCATGAGGACATACGAGTTGCAACATCTATAGATCATCGAACATCAACGATGCTCCCGGCGTGAGGCCCAATATATTCTCTCAGAGCGCTCATGTGGCTATGCCACCGTTGCCAACCGGGCAAACCAGATGGTTGAGTCGTCGTTGCCGGATCTAATAATATCAACTGGTGGAAAGGGCCATGGCGAAGCTTACTATGGATTCTCTATTCGTGAGCCTAACGGAGTCATTGGCACAAATAGTGAGCACTCAGTTGACTCAAACCTTGCAGGAAGGTAACCAGTCTACCGTGCCCCCTTCTATACCTTCACCAGTTAAGGTTACTGTTATTCCATCGGAACCTGGCCCTTCGAAGTCAAAGCCAGACACGCCGAACTCTGGCCGTAGAATAATTGTGCCTCTTGTGCAGGACTTAGATTGGAGCTTGGACTCCAATTTCCATGTCTCACAACCAGAACGAATGGATTCTGACTCGAGAAACATAAAAATACGTGCTTCTTCTGAAGCACAACGCTCCTCAGTTAGTCCTAAATCAAGAAATAGGAAATATCAAAAGCAAAATCTATGAAAAAAGATTTTCGAAAGGATAGCATCTCAGAGAAAGCAGTGAGTGCTGATGGTATCTCTTCAAAATAGGGAATTTAAAAGTACTACAGTAGAATTGCCGCTCCTATTTTTTTTTCAGCAGCTACAGACTTACTTCATCTTTGCGATCATTATTCCCCTGATATTGTTGCTTTACAAGAAACTTAGCTTGCAGAAAATAAGTATTGTAGGATTAGAAATTACCGCACGTTTCGTCTAGATTGCCAACTTGGGGTGAAGGTTTGTCAACAAGTATCTCATCTAAAATCGCCCATAGAGCTAAAAATATACATCAGTCAATGACTTCATAAAGCAAGATTTTAGCATTAGGCATTCCTGGGATCCTTTCATTCTCATATATTAATGCTTATTTTCCTGCGGGTGTTCTAAATTCTTCCGTTCTAGATACTGCAGTTTACTATTGCTAAAAAGATATTGTATTAGAAGGTGACTTCAATTCTCATCCTATCTTGTGGGGTTTCAAAATTTATTTGAATGGCAAACGTTTGTGGCATTGGGTGAACAGGAATAGCTTTATATGCATAAACACGAAAAACTCCTACTTTTATGTGTAGTCAGTCCTCCTGAGTACTTGATCAAACTTTTTCTAACGCTAACCTGTCCATCTTATCACAGTCGGGAACAAGTATAGTGACCATATGCAAATATTTTTTGAGGTGGCATGTCCAATAACCTCCAAGAATAGATCATCGGTTACGCATGTAAACTTAATACAATCAAGAAATCATTATGAGGCGCTTTATCTAACTGAACGAATGGTGCGGAACTACACGTCATCAGAATAAGCGACATTTTAAGAGAGTCGTTGAATAATTCGAAATTATATTGATAGCTCTAAACCTTCTACCAACCTTTGGTGGAACGCAGACTGTTTGCGGGTTATATACTTACAAAAGCTGCGTGGAAAAACCTAATTTTCAACCAGTGTCCGAGGAACTGGAGTGATTATAAGTATGTGGCCGCTATTTTTAAGAGAACCGTTCCTAATTCAAAGGACAAATTTAAAGACAAACGATGTGAGTTCCTTTCAAAGCCGGTAAATAGAAAAGCGCTTTCTCGCTTTCTAAGAAATAAGAAAGTTGTTTCAGTACTAAGATACATAGAATCTGTAGTATCATCACCAGTTGAACTGAAGGCCTTTATAGAAGATATAGCTCAGGGCCTAAAAGTCGCTTTACGACAATTCTCTCATACCAAGCCCAGCCCCTCATACGGCTGAGGATTTTGAAGAGGTCACACCTGCAGAACTAGCAAACGTAGTCACAACACTACCCCATTCTGCTCCTGGTCCTGATGAAATGACGACGTCGGTGGTAAAATCAGTACATAAAATATACCCACTTGGCCAACTCTAAATTATTAATCACTCACATAAAAGTTCTTGGATTCCACCCGATTGGAGAATGGCAAAGGGTATTCCATTATTAAAAAAGTAAGGCGCTGGGTTTACCTTAGATGATACCAGGCCCACTGCACTTACATCGAACCTAGTAAAAGTCGTTGAAAACTTTATATCGACCATTGTGATAGCGACTGACGCTTCTGTTTATGAAGAGAAGGCTGGCGTAAGAGTCGTATCATCCTCTCTAGATTAGGCTTTCTGAATTTGATTACCCGACTTTACCCCTATTTACCAAGCTGAGCTACTGGCAATAGTCTTAGCATTACGTAAAGTGCCCCAAGATCTGTCAGCGGTGATTTTTCTAACAGATTGTCTTGCGGTCTGAACTGCCTTAAGCTCACCAACTTTTTCGCGTACCTTAGAAACTTTCTACTCGCTCATTCCTACACATGTGCGACTCGTCCGACTAGTTTGGGTACCAGGCCATGGAGCTCTGAATGAGCATGCAGATGCACTAGCTGGATCTTCCCTTCATTGTCCTGTTTTACCTATTTTGCCTACTTCGAAATATATCACAGCAGCACGCTTTGGAAATTGCACAATGGCCAATAAATTCAAAAAATCTCCTTTGTTTTTATCAGACAATTCACAGCTAGAGTTCCCTTGGAAGAACAAGTGGTGTTCATCAAGAAAGGAAGAAATAGTAATTACAAGGCTGCGTTGTCGAGTCCCTTCATTGAAATTTTACCTTCACAAGTCGGGTCTGGCGCAGTCACCTTTGTGCCTTCACTGTAATGAGAGTGAATCTTTGAAGCACTTCTTTTTGTCATGCCGAAAATTCAAAAGTCAAAGGAAAAATGTACTGGAAGAACCCCTATGAAAGTTGGACTTAAAGTTGACACTTTAGGTGATTCTTTCATTTGGCGCAGCCACAGGAGCGTTTTTATCACCGTTACAAATATCTTACGAGAATCTAAAGAAATGGAATGCTAAACATAGATAAATTCAGTTGTTTTATGTATAGAATTCTTTTTTGAGTGTATTAGATTTTTTTAGGGTTTCTTGTTTGTTTAGAAATCTAACACATTTAAATTATTACCTATATTACCTAATTATTCCTAAATTATTCCAAATTATTTAAAAAGCAAGGCACCATTCCTTTCATGGCCTATCCCCCTAGGTGGGTTGCGCCAAGCTGTTGAGGAACCAGCCAACCAACCAACTCGGGCCGCTTTGCGGGTGCGCGCCAGTATTAAAAGGATTATAATCATCATCATCACTCCGCCATTCCCCTGCATTGCGAAAGAGCCATGAGAAGAGAAGAATAAGAAGATAAAGCGGCTGACGATCCCTATTTTACCAAATTAATGCACAGCAGATGCGTCAGAAGACAACAGTGTTATGGACAACAAAGCAGGAACATCCAAGGGCGTCGCGGCTGTTCCCACTAAAGACGTGCCACTGGCGTGTCTGCACCGCATCAAGCGAGATATCACGGACTTCAACGTTGACCCGCCACCGGATATCTTCATCGCGCCCGCGGAGAACGACATCACAACGATCAACGCCATCGTGATGGGCGCTAAAGGTACGCCGCTCGAAGGCGGGTTCTTCCACTTCTGCGTGCAATTCACCGATAAGTACCCTCTGGAACCACCGAAGGTGCGCTTCATGACGACGGACGCTGGGCGGGTTCAGTTCAACGAGCACATCTACAAAAACGGCTCCATCTGCCTCAGCACGCTGAACACATTCGGATCGACGTGGACCCCAGCCCAGTCGCTAAGCAGCCTCCTCGTTTCCATCCAATCGCTGCTCTGCGATGTGCACAAGTTCAAGGACGAGGCGGTGAATGATCGCTTCGAATCCATCTTGCAGCACGAAACCATCAGGGTTGCTGTCTGCGATACGGTGGAATCTTGCCTTCGAACTGATTCGCCGTTAGCGCAGACCTTGAAAGACGGCGTGCTCCAGAAATTCTCAGAGTTTTACGACAGGTACGAAGAAGTGGTGAAGTCGAGGATGCAGCTTACTGGAACGCAAATGCATGACCCCGCCAGATTCAACGCAGGCACGTATCAGTTTGAAAAGCTGCTGACAAGGCTGCAAGAGTTGAAGCAAAAAGTCGCCAAGAGGAACGAAGCCGCTGCGGTGAAGGCTCAGACCTGATGCCCATGCAAGCTTCGTGACTCCATTCGCTCGAAGCTAGCCGCAACGTAATTCTTCTACAGTTGGTCTACCTTAGCGAAAGATTCCCGGACAAATCGGCATACGGCATCTGCCCTTTCTCAAGACATCCCCAATGAACATAATCGGACAAAAAAAAACCTTTATTCGCCCCCATTTTATCTTGAAAAATCAAAGCAATCGCTTAAATAAATGTGTGTTTAAAATTTCCACGCGTACTTTATTTTTGCTGTGTCAGTTATACTATGAAATAAATTCTATTCCTTGCCAACATTGATGAATTTGCACGTTTTTATGACAACGAAGGAGACAGCAGAATAAATAATTTACCCTACCACAGTAAGGAGATATATTTATCTTTTGTTAAGTAATCTGCCATGCACACACCGAAGCCGCTAAAGCAATTCGCATGACGGATACGCATTGAATGGGTGTCGTAATTGGCTTCTTATTTAGAGTATACTATCAGTCACCCCGTCGGCTTCTCTTTGAGTGAGGTAAGCCCAATTTTATGACGGGCATGCTTTAAAATGTAGCCTCGAAACGGTGGCCTCTGTCTAAAATATACCGAAGTACGTCAACGGGAACTGGTCAATTTTTGCGTTATTTTCGGACATGAAATGTCGAAGTAATGTTGTCTTTTTTCGCAGAGATCTGCTGATGTTATGATGTGTCGAAAGATCCTGAACAAGTTTCCCTAGTAGTACAGGCATCTCTAAAACCACAGTATAATATTACGACGTTTCGGAGGTATTTCTGCTGTTATGGTTTGATGACTGTTGTGACCACACATTTTTCTATTGTAGTAGAAACATTTCTTGCCGTACTCCAGATCCATGCATTTATTACACTTTCTTTGATGTTTCCGCCTCACTTCACCAACCGAGGGTCTTAGGGAAAGTTCCTGTCCCGCCTTTGTCCCGTGAAACCAGTACAGAGCTTTGTAGTTTTATATTCATTGCCCTGAGCGCGAAGTAATTCCTGCTCAGTTTGGTCGTGAAAATATTTCAGTTGTAGATATCATTCAAGGCAGTTTCACTCTAAACTGTGCATTTTTTTCCAGATAATTTCACACCTTCCTCTTATTATATGTGGACGTCTGTACGATAATTAGCCAGTGCGACTCAGAAAAGTGTCAAAATATGCACGAGTTTTTTTTTTTTGTGTGTGTGTGTGTGACTACATATGACAGAATTTTTCAACTTGTAAGACATTTTACCACGGGGCAAGAAAATGTGGAGATCTGACATATCTCTGATTAGGCAAAAAACACACAAATCGTTACCAGCATAACCATCAGTTTATTGCGCTTATTCAAGAACCAATTTATGAGCGAAACGTGACACAACACTTAAGTGATTCTCGCTACGAGAAGCAAGTAGCCCGATAGCGCTATGACTATACCGATACTTCTTTGTACAGCCAATTTACTACGTCCACATCCTACGCACTTCGGCCGGTGGCGATTAATCACGCTGCATACAAGGCTTACTTTATCGTGTTCTCCTGGAGGAGCTCTCTAATTAACCTACAGGTATCACTTTGCTCCTTATTCTTTAGGCCTATTAGTAAAGCAACCGTGTTCAGCACAGATGTACGGGCATGGGCTTCGCGAGCGCGCTCGTTTGCCGACGTGGCTTATTAATTGGCGGGTGATGTCAGAAACCGCCATCTTAACACGTACAGTAGCAGGACACAACTGACAGCATGCACATATTTCAGCTTCATTTGTTCCTGCCTCCAAGTCGCCGTTGATGTGTATCACAAGCGGTATGCGTCATCTCAGTTCACTGCTGTCGGAAAGCAATAATGAAGTCATAACATTCGTCATCTTGAAAGATAAAGAGGAAGTATTGTTGTTGGCATTTTATATACAACGCGAATGAAGATGTATAAGGACTGCGTACTTTCAAAAAGGCAAGCCATTCATGGAGAGCGAAGCACAGTCACAACGGAAGCTGGAGAGTGGCTTCCTAGGACCCGGTGTAAGCTCTCTTAGGGCTGCTGTCACGAGTTCCCACTACACTGCTATTGGAATTCAGTGGAGAAGCCAGGTACTAGCAAAACATACGCAAGGCACTATATATTTTATTCATAAAGTACTGCATGCCACAAAAATGGCCCAAGCAGGAGTGGTAGGTGGTACAATAATGACATGACCAATTAATAGATGTACAGGTGTGAAGAAAAAAAGAATAAACAAAAAAACAACAACAGAAAAAATTCTTCAGACAGGTGTACAATATAATCGTGGGATAGATAACTCGCACTTCAAAGTAATTTTCTAGAGATTTTAGTACATATATATAGAGAGGGGCTCTTTATTAGGAAAAACAGATATTTTTGCCGGCGTTTAAATATCGCTGGCATGCTACTCTGTAAAGGGTGTGGAAGGGGACTGAAATACTTCAGGAGAGAAAAAAAAATGAAAAAAGTTATGACCAAGTGAACTTGACAAACTAAATATATTAGGGTATCAGGTAAATGAAGGCTTTCCTATGTGCGACGTCGTATTATTATTAGAGTATTCCGTCAAGGTCAACATTGCATAGGTAATTTATCAATGAAAGTATGACCCGACGATGTTTTGAAGGTCCGCGCACAGGGTTTATGTAACGCAACGTTATTGTTCGTGGCAGATCATGTCCATTTCTTTTTCATAATACAGTTGCCCCTCATTGCGGTACGTGGGGCAGTTTAGTAGTGCGCGCTGCACTGTCTCTATGCTGCCACAATTATCACAACATGGACTTGTGGTATGCCCTAAACGGTACATGTAACTGTTCGTGTATGCCACGTTCAGTCGAAGACGATTATACTTTATTGATGCGATGACTCATAACAATGAAAAAAAGGCTGAGCCCTTTGTAATGAATCGGAAATATGAAATGACCCTCTAGTTATCTGAACTGCTTTTCGTAACGCATGTTGGTTATTTCACTATCCTACAAATCGTACTACATACGCTAATGTCAGAGAGAGAGAGAGAAAGAAATGATGTTGCTTAGGTCACAAAAAAAAAAACGAGTCATTGGGGCCTCATAACTTACTAGCAACAACCTCTGCGCTAGCTGAGGGCCCTTCGTTCCTCGGTGACGTCATCACAGCACGACGGGCACGAAGAACGCGTTCTAACAAATGACCGTTGCTGGTTTTTAGGGCACAAATACTATACACCATTTCGTGTGAAGCACTGTTCGTCGATTGTTATTTTTCAGCTTCCAGTACAACGGGACCCCGTACCCCGTAAATAATTGCTGCGTTTTGTTTTTCGCTGTGGTCCCAATGCATCAGTTTGTGGAGAAGTGAAATTTGATTTGATCTATATTGCACAAATCATCGAGAGGCGCCACTCTCCTAATAGTACTTTTTCAACAACATAATGAAGGTCAGGGCTACGTATACTCTTGTAAGCATGACAAATAAGGTTTTTTCTCTTTATATCTCAAGGCAAAAGAAAGAAACAAATAAATAAAGAGAGAAAGAGAGACAGTGAGAATGAAAGAGGGAAAGAAAGAAACAATGAATGAAAGAGGGAAAGAAAGAAACAATGAAAGAAAGAGGGAAAGAAAGAAAGGAAGAAAGAGAGGTAAACAGAGAAGAATGATAGATAGATAGATAGATAGATAGATAGATAGATAGATAGATAGATAGATAGATAGATAGATAGATAGATAGATAGATAGATAGATAGATAGATAGATAGATAGATAGATAGATAGATAGATAGATAGATAGATAGATAGATAGATAGATAGATAGATAGATAGATAGATAGATAGATAGATAGATAGATAGATAGATAGATAGATAGATAGATAGATAGATAGATAGATAGATAGATAGATAGATAGATCCACAGGCAGACTGACAGACAGACAGACAGACAGACAGACAGACAGACAGACAGACAAATAGACATATAACCACCATATGATTATGAGAGACGCCTTAGTGAAGGGCTCCGGAAATTTCGACCACCTGGGGTTCTTTAACGTGCACCCAAATCTGAGCACATGGGCCTACAACATTTCCTCCTACATCGCGAGAAACAAAGAGCAAAAGATGAAGTCAAAAAAAAAAGAAAGACACAAAGAAAGAAACAAAAAAGAAAGAAGGAAGAAATGAAAGAAAGAGAAAAAGAAAGAAATAAAAATAAAGAAAGACACGTCGGGCACGCACATACCCCGCTTCTCTCGTCCCCATTTTCCTGACAAGGGGAGCATTCCTAAGTACATTTGTCTTCCTTTGATTGTTCCTCATCTTCCTCACATCAGCATCTTTCGTGGCCGATTCTCCCTGCATTCTGACATTCGCTTCCTTCGGGACTTCGTTGACCACGGATACCACGACAGGGCAATCTTGTCTCCCAATGAAGACAGATCATATCACGCGTTCGTGCTATCTCAATTCATGTTCATGTACTGTTTTCTTTTATTCGCTCGTTTCCACCGACTGCGTTCGACCGATGTCCTCTTTCCGCTTAGGGTAGACAGCACATGGAGGTCTACGCTGACGGCGTCTCACTGTCCCTTCGTGGGTTATTGCCAGCAAATCCCTGTCCGCAGTCACAGTGTCTTGTTTACTGGGTGGTGTACCCTTTCCGGCTATTGATCTTCGTGAAGACGCAAAACCCTATCCGTTGGCAGGAGGGGCCAGGCACACTTCCGCGTCCCATTTTATCCTCGGAAAGGACCCACGCACGCTTTATCCCGCGGTAGGCCAGCGCGTCCCAGTACTGCAATCGTGGGCCAAATACGAGCACCCGCGTATATATATATAAGGCCTTTCTATAAAAACTAACAGCTTGCTCGTTCAGTGATATCTATAAATGTGTTCAGACAAATATCATGGCTAAATGAGCGGCAGTATTAGGAGAACAAAGAATCATGAAAATTGTGTGACAAAAATGACTCAACTACCTTGGTTCATTAGCACCAATAAGTGACTGCGGCGCTGCCTATAAGTCTTTGTGAGCTTGC